GACCCAGGACTGAGGCTGTAGACCCAGGACTGAGGCTATAGATCCAGGACTGAGGCTGTAGACCCAGGACTGAGGCTGTAGACCCAGGACTGAGGCTATAGATCCAGGACTGAGGCTGTAGACCCAGGACTGAGGCTGTAGACCCAGGACTGAGGCTATAGACCCAGGACTGAGGCTGTAGACCCAGGAGTGAGGCTATAGACCCAGGACTGAGGCTGTAGACCCAGGACTGAGGCTGTAGATCCAGGACTGAGGCTGTAGACCCAGGACTGAGGCTGTAGATCCAGGACTGAGACTGTAGACCCAGGACTGAGGCTGTACTGATGGACCTTCTTTCCTTTCAGCCGAGTTGTTTATGGCGGACGGTCGCCTGAAGGAGGCGCACTTCTGCATCGCTGAGGCCAGTTCCCTGTTCCCCAACTCCCACTCTGTGCTGCTGCAGAGGGGCCGCCTGGCGGAGCTCCGCGGGCAGCTGGACGAGGCCAAGAGTCTGTACAAAGAAGCTCTGGCCATCCACCCCACCGGAGAGAGCGTCCTGGTGCATCTGGTGAGGCTTCTCAAACTGTGGTTCCAACGCTTACATCTAAAACTAGTAATGAAACACATAGAATACAAATATTTAACATGTATGTAACCAGGAAGGGCCCGATGAAATTAAGAACGTCTTTTTCAAGGGAGTCATGGAGAAAAAAAGTGTTTGGAGAATAAAAAATGCACAAATATATCGACACCATGAGAAGGGCAGGTGTGTTTTCAAGCTGGCTCCGTATCGCGGCGCCTGAAAGTCCTTCTAGATGGAGGTCTGTTTCGCGGACTCACGGGAGTGGAGTACGATCAGGCCCTCTGTGGGTCACTAAACACCTCCTCTAAAAAGAGGTGATGGTCCTGGTCCTGGTCCTGGTCCGTGTCCTGGTCCTGGTCCTGACCCGGGTCAGTGTGAGTTCAGTCTTATATCAAAACAAAGCTCTGAGGCATTGATTAAACGCTGAATCCACAGGAGATCAACGCTTATCAATGGTCAGTGCCTTTATGGTTATATAGAGGGCGGTAGAGACCATGAAGGCTGTAGAGAGAGACCGTGAAGGCTGTAGAGAGAGACCGTGAAGGCTGTAGAGAGAGACCGTGAAGGCTGTAAAGAGAGACCATGAAGGCTGTAGAGAGAGACCGTGAAGGCTGTAGAGAGACCATGAAGGCTGTAGAGAGAGACCGTGAAGGCTGTAGAGAGAGACCGTGAAGGCTGTAGAGAGACCATGAAGGCTGTAAAGAGAGACCATGAAGACTGTAGAGAGACCATAAAGGCTGTAGAGACCATGTGGGCTGTAGAGACCATGAAGGCTGTAGAGACCATGAGGGCTGTAGAGAGACCATGAAGGCTGTAGAGAGAGACCATGAAGGCTGTAGAGAGAGACCATGAAGGCTGTAGAGAGAGACCATAAAGGCTGTAGAGAGACGATGAAGGCTGTAGAGAGACCATGAAGGATGTAGAGACCATGAGGGCTGTAGAGACCATGAAGGCTGTAGAGACCATGAAGGCTGTAGAGACCATGAAGGCTGTAGAGACCATGAAGGCTGTAGAGACCATGAGGGCTGTAGAGACCATGAGGGCTGTAGAGAGACCATGAGGGCTGTAGAGACCATGTGGGCTGTAGAGACCATGAGGACTGTAGAGACCATGAGGGCTGTAGAGACCATGAAGGCTGTAGAGACCATGAGGGCTGTAGAGTAGAGAGACCATGAGGGCTGTAGAGAGACCATGAGGGCTGTAGAGAGACCATGAGGGCTGTAGAGCCTTAATGTTCTTTGTACAGTATATTTGAATATGTATCTTGTGGTCCCATTGTTCCTTGTCCTGCAGTCGTTCTGTTCCTGTACTGTCTTGTGACTTTCTTTTGTGTCATTGTTAAATGTTCAATGTGAAGTTTCACATCAGCCTGTCTAGGGACAACAGATGGAAATTAGCCTATGGCTAAAATCTAATAAATAAATAAATAAATAAATAAATAAATAAAATAGAGACCATGTGGGCTGTAGAGAGACCATGAAGGCTCAGTGACCAGATAGAGACCAGTGAGGGGCTGGTGCTATGAGACTTGGGTGGCATCTCTGACTGCCACCCCCCTGACCCAGAAATGGATTAAAGGGAAGAAGATGGATGGATGGAGAGACCATGTGGGCTGTAGAGACCATGAAGGCTGTAGAGAGACCATGTGGGCTGTAGAGACCATGAAGGCTGTAGAGACCATGTGGGCGCTGTGCTGATAGTGCAGGTCTCTGGTCTCCTTTCATGTGTAATAACCACAGACCGTAGTCACACTGATCTCCGCCGTTGAAACTAATGTGACATCACTTCTGTGGCTCTTTCAAAATAAAAAAAATACTTTTGCGCATGAGTTATCTGCACAAGCCTCATTCATTTAACGAGTGCATTCAAAAGTCCACAGCAGCTAAACTAGACTGACATATAGACTAAAACATACTCTCAACATCGACAGCATCTGGAACCAAGAGGTGGACCATCCTGTAAAGGAGTTTTCTAGAGGAAAGACGGCGGCATACAAAAGCTTTGGGTAATTCTCTTTCCGGGTACACCCCCACAGGCCCGGGGTGGTATTGCAGTAAGTCAGAGCACGTGCTGACGCTGGTAATAACGTAACTCTTTCTTAAAAGTATACAACAGATAAAATGTTTATTAATGAGAGGAGGTTGTTCTGATTTGTTCACATTTTACAAAACTCTTGTTGGTACAAAAAATTCAAAAATTCATTTTCAACCCCTTTATTAGTGGGGGCAATGAGCGCTGCCACCCAATGTTCAAATGTTTTCGTTCATACAAACAAAAAGTTAGGTGAACCTGCTTCACACATAACATTTTTCAATTGTTCCTTTTCCTTGTTTCTGAAAGTTATGAGGGACGTTTTTGAGCCCAAACCTGGCAACCTTCTGACCACATAAGGCTAACACAGACCCACTCTGTTTGTGTTGCGTCCCGCTGGGGCAGACAGAGGTTCTCGTCTCTTCCATATTTGGGCTGTGGGAGCAGCGTCCCGGGGGTGAGGCTGAAGCCGAGCCAGCTGGCAGGCTCCGAATGTGGGTTTGTTACGGGGCAGCTGCGCCTGTGGACCACATGTGGACGCATCCGTCTGGATCCTGGCCAGGAGATAAAAATAAGGTTTTTTTAAAGTCACTGCTGGGATTTGGTCACTTTGAGGACGAGGGTGTGTTTGCAGTCGTAGCTCCTGATTCTCTCTCACTCTGAGGGTAAATCTGTTGGATTTGACCAAATCAAAGAAACATCCATAACTCTGAGACTGACGATAGTTTGAGTGGGCTGCATGTGATGGAACAGTGTCGTCATGGCGATAATAACAAGTGCAAGGACGTATTATTTTATCTTTGTGCACACAGGTGTAAAAAGATGGTACTTTGTTCTTACTGAAGTTAGAGTTTGGAACATTCGTAATCTCTTCCTTCTGAACAGAGTGATTCATCTAAAATCTAATTCATCAAATGTGAAAAGAGAGTGCTTAACGACCGTACGTGTTTCAGAGAGCCCTGTCGGAAACAAAAGAACTTCCTGTGTGGAAACAAAAGCACTTCCTGTCGGAAACAAAAGCACTTCCTGTTCGAAGGTTTGGGTGAATTAATGCCACAGTTTTGAGAAAACTATATATTTTTTTCTGATTCATTTAAAACTTTCTAGAGATACAGAAATGTACAAACATTCTGTTGGTACCGGCTTTTACTGCTTAACCTGAGCCACTCCTCCTCCTCCTCCCGTCTCCTCCTCCTCCTCCCGTCTCCTCCTCCACACTCCTGTCTCCTCCTCCACACTCCTGTCTCCTCCTCCACACTCCCGTCTCCTCCTCCACGCTTCCGTCTCCTCCTCCACGCTCCCGTCTCCGCCTCCACACTCCTGTCTCCTCCTCCACACTCCTGTCTCCTCCTCCACACTCCTGTCTCCTCCTCCACACTCCTGTCTCCTCCTCCACGCTCCCGTCTCCCTCCTCCCCACTCCTGTCTCCTCCTCCACACTCCTGTCTCCTCCTCCACACTCCTGTCTCCTCCTCCACGCTCCCGTCTCCTCCTCCACACTCCTGTCTCCTCCTCCACACTCCTGTCTCCTCCTCCACACTCCTGTCTCCTCCTCCACACTCCTGTCTCCTCCTCCACACTCCTGTCTCCTCCTCCACACTCCTGTCTCCTCCTCCACACTCCTGTCTCCTCCTCACACTCCTGTCTCCTCCTCCACACTCCTGTCTCCTCCTCCACGCTCCTGTCTCCTCCTCCACACTCCCGTCTCCTCCTCCACGCTCCCGTCTCCTCCTCCACGCTTCCGTCTCCTCCTCCACACTCCCGTCTCCTCCTCCACACTCCTGTCTCCTCCTCCACGCTCTCGTCTCCTCCTCCACACTCCTGTCTCCTCCTCCACGCTCCTGTCTCCTCCTCCACACTCCCGTCTCCTCCTCCACGCTCCCGTCTCCTCCTCCACGCTTCCGTCTCCTCCTCCACACTCCCGTCTCCTCCTCCACGCTTCCGTCTCCTCCTCCACACTCCCGTCTCCTCCTCCACGCTCCCGTCTCCTCCTCCACACTCCCGTCTCCTCCTCCACGCTTCCGTCTCCTCCTCCACACTCCCGTCTCCTCCTCCACACTCCTGTCTCCTCCTCCACGCTCTCGTCTCCTCCTCCACGCTCCTGTCTCCTCCTCCACGCTCGTCTCCTCCTCCTCCACACTCCCGTCTCCTCCTCCACGCTCCCGTCTCCTCCTCCACGCTTCCGTCTCCTCCTCCCTCAGCTTCGCTCCTCCCGTCTCCTCCTCCACGCTTCCGTCTCCTCCTCCACACTCCCGTCTCCTCCTCCACGCTCCCGTCTCCTCCTCCACACTCCCGTCTCCTCCTCCACGCTCCTGTCTCCTCCTCCACGCTTCCGTCTCCTCCTCCACGCTTCCGTCTCCTCCTCCACGCTTCCGTCTCCTCCTCCACGCTCCCGTCTCCTCCTCCACCCTCCTGTCTCCTCCTCCACACTCCTGTCTCCTCCTCCACGCTTCCGTCTCCTCCTCCACCCTCCTGTCTCCTCCTCCACACTCCTGTCTCCTCCTCCACGCTTCCGTCTCCTCCTCCACACTCCTGTCTCCTCCTCCACGCTCCCGTCTCCTCCTCCACACTCCCGTCTCCTCCTCCACGCTCCTGTCTCCTCCTCCACGCTCCCGTCTCCTCCTCCACGCTTCCGTCTCCTCCTCCACGCTTCCGTCTCCTCCTCCACGCTCCCGTCTCCTCCTCCACCCTCCTGTCTCCTCCTCCACGCTTCCGTCTCCTCCTCCACCCTCCTGTCTCCTCCTCCACACTCCTGTCTCCTCCTCCACGCTTCCGTCTCCTCCTCCACACTCCTGTCTCCTCCTCCACGCTTCCGTCTCCTCCTCCACGCTTCCGTCTCCTCCTCCACGCTCCCGTCTCCTCCTCCACCCTCCTGTCTCCTCCTCCACGCTTCCGTCTCCTCCTCCACCCTCCTGTCTCCTCCTCCACACTCCTGTCTCCTCCTCCACGCTTCCGTCTCCTCCTCCACACTCCTGTCTCCTCCTCCACGCTCCCGTCTCCTCCTCCACGCTTCCGTCTCCTCCTCCACACTCCCGTCTCCTCCTCCACGCTTCCGTCTCCTCCTCCACACTCCTGTCTCCTCCTCCACACTCCTGTCTCCTCCTCCACACTCCTGTCTCCTCCTCCACACTCCTGTCTCCTCCTCCACGCTCCCGTCTCCTCCTCCACGCTTCCGTCTCCTCCTCCACACTCCCGTCTCCTCCTCCACGCTTCCGTCTCCTCCTCCACACTCCTGTCTCCTCCTCCACACTCCTGTCTCCTCCTCCACGCTCCCGTCTCCTCCTCCACGCTTCCGTCTCCTCCTCCACACTCCTGTCTCCTCCTCCACACTCCTGTCTCCTCCTCCACACTCCTGTCTCCTCCTCCACGCTTCCGTCTCCGCCTCCACGCTTCCGTCTCCTCCTCCACGCTTCCGTCTCCTCCTTCACGCTTCCGTCTCCTCCTCCACACTCTTGTCTCCTCCTCCACGCTCCCGTCTCCTCCTCCCACACTCCTGTCTCCTCCTCTACACTCCCGTCTCCTCCTCCACGCTCCCGTCTCCTCCTCCACTCTTCCGTCTCCTCCTCCACGCTCCTGTCTCCTCCTCCACACTCCTGTCTCCTCCTCCACACTCCCGTCTCCTCCTCCACACTCCTGTCTCCTCCTCCACGCTCTCGTCTCCTCCTCCACGCTCCCGTCTCCTCCTCCACACTCCTGTCTCCGCCTCCACACTCCTGTCTTCGCCTCCACACTCGGGTAACCCACCCACGCTCTCGTCTCCTCCTCCACGCTCCCGTCTCCTCCTCCACGCTCCTGTCTCCTCCTCCATGCTCCCGTCTCCTCCTCTACGCTCTCGTCTCCTCCTCCACGCTCTCGTCTCCTCCTCCATGCTCCCGTCTCCTCCTCCACGCTCTCGTCTCCTCCTCCACGCTCCCGTCTCCTCCTCCACGCTCCTGTCTCCTCCTCCATGCTCCCGTCTCCTCCTCCACGCTCTCGTCTCCTCCTCCACGCTCTCGTCTCCTCCTCCACGCTCTCGTCTCCTCCTCCACGCTCCCGTCTCCTCCTCCACACTCCCGTCTCCTCCTCCACACTCCTGTCTCCTCCTCCACGCTCCTGTCTCCTCCTCCATGCTCCCGTCTCCTCCTCCACGCTCCCGTCTCCTCCTCCACGCTCTCGTCTCCTCCTCCCACGCTCTCGTCTCCTCCTCCACGCTCCTGTCTCCTCCTCCATGCTCCCGTCTCCTCCTCCACGCTCCCGTCTCCTCCTCCACGCTCCCGTCTCCTCCTCCATGCTCCCGTCTCCTCCTCCACGCTCCTGTCTCCTCCTCCATGCTCCCGTCTCCTCCTCTACGCTCTCGTCTCCTCCTCCACGCTCTCGTCTCCTCCTCCACGCTCCCGTCTCCTCCTCCACACTCCCGTCTCCTCCTCCACGCTCCCGTCTCCTCCTCCATCCTCCCGTCTCCTCCTCCACACTCCCGTCTCCTCCTCCACGCTCCCGTCTCCTCCTCCACACTCCCGTCTCCTCCTCCACACTCCCGTCTCCTCCTCCACGCTCCCGTCTCCTCCTCCATCCTCCCGTCTCCTCCTCCACACTCCCGTCTCCTCCTCCACGCTCCCGTCTCCTCCTCCACGCTCCCGTCTCCTCCTCCACACTCCCGTCTCCTCCTCCACACTCCCGTCTCCTCCTCCATCCTCCCGTCTCCTCCTCCACACTCCCGTCTCCTCCTCCACGCTCTCGTCTCCTCCTTCACACTCCCGTCTCCTCCTCCACACTCCCGTCTCCTCCTCCATCCTCCCGTCTCCTCCTCCACACTCCCGTCTCCTCCTCCACGCTCTCGTCTCCTCCTTCACACTCCCGTCTCCTCCTCCAACCTCCCGTCTCCTCCTCATGAATGTATTTTTACCCTGGACGCCACAGTGTGTGTTCCAG